TAACCCTGCCCTCCTTCAGCTTAAGGCCATTATTTTAAGACCATTTAAAATTCCTGGCATCTCCTAAAGCACCAGGATATCCAGGAGAGCCACAGGACACACAGCCAAAGAAACACTTTCAGATATATTTTAAAAATCCTTCTTGGTTTCTTACTTCACCTCAAGACTCCAACAAAGCTCCAGGAAAGAAGAAACATTTTTTTTATTATTATTTCGTGTACTTATGTGGCATCTCCTGGTTAGGACTGAGTATCAGAGAGGGAATGAGAACACTAACACTTGGAGAACGTGAAGCCTCCAGTTCTGTTCTGCTTTTTACAAGGATAAAGGAGCAAGAACTGGGGTCCAAATGCACAAATAGTGAAAACCATCCCTCTGTGCTGACCCTTTTACAAATAAGAAAGAATTTAAGCACAAAAGCTCAACTGTTTATGCACCAAACAGAACCCAACAATTCTAGTGCCACGTGCTACCTCTGCCTCCAGAGTCCGTTTCTCTGGTGATAATTTCAACCTCAGTGTTCAAATCCCAGAGGAGAGGAGTGTTCCTACCCAGGAAAGCACATCCTGCACTCCTGCAGGCTTCAGCCATTCCTTCTTGGATCGTCTCAGTCACTTCAGCATCAAGTTTGCCACAGGCAAAATAACTGAGGAAGAAGAGGGGCTCTGCTCCGTGGGGCAGCAGGGCATTGACACACAGGGCCACCAGGTCCTGCCCGAGGGTGGTGTGTCTCCTGCAGGCTTGTGCCATCTGCAAAACATGGTGGGGAGGAGGAACAGGCAGAACCCACACATCAACCAGGCAAACAGAGCCCCTCCTGTCTCTGGCAGGAATCACTGCAGGACACAAGTGCAGGAGAGGCCCTGGTGCATCACCCGGCTCGAACCAAGAGAAAACTGCTCAGCTTCTGGCAGAGAAAAACTGTTTTGGTTTCTTAAACACTGATTCAAATTCTGGCTCCAGCTACCCAGAAATTGCCATTTTGGGTTGGGGTTTTTTTTTGTTTGCTTTTTGGAATATTATCATGGAATCATGGAATGGTGTGGGTTGGGAAGGGCCTTAAAGCCCACCCAGTTTCACCCCCTGCCATGGGCAGGGACACCTTCCACCAGACCAGGTTGCTCCAAGTCCCATCCAACCTGGCCTAGGACACTTCCAGGGATGGGGCATCCTCTGGGAAATCCATTCTGGGGCCTCCCCACCCTCCCAG